CTCTCCCGGGACTGGCTCCCGTCGCTGCAAGCCGCGACTTGCCGCCGGTGTCCCCGAGGGCAAGCAGCTGGAACCCGAACGCTCTGGAACCGACTCCGGCGAGCCAGCCCCTCCCGGAGGCATTCCTTGCCGCCCTGGCCAGGTGACCACCCCCGGGAGCTCGCTCAAGCCTTGATCCAACCAGGTCGCCCAGGGTTGATTTCAGGTCACTTGGTCATCCCCAGCGTCCAGGTACGACCCGGAAGTCACGCCCGACCTCTGCCCGGACCTCTTCTGTCTACACAGAGTGTACTTTCGAAGTCTGATCCGAGTCCCACGCGTGGTTGAGGGGTGCTGGGGGTAGGGGAACCGCCGAGATTTTGCTTTGAGGGGAGGGGGTGGGCAGGGTGAAGGAGTCTCTCCGCCCTAGGTGCCAATAAAATCTCCATAAGATTAGCTGGGAGCCTATTTATTGCTCATCAGGGCTAGAATTACCTTGACTGACAGCAATTTCCTTAATAACAAAAGCCTGTAAACAAAACGTCTTAAACCTGTGCCCCTGTGCAGTGCAGGCAGCGGCTCCGCTCTCTGGGTACCCCCTGGGCTGCCCAGTTGGGGCACCCACCTTGTAACCTCCTGCCTCCCTGGTCTCCCCGCGGGAGGGTGGGACGAGCTATTTAGAGTCGTCGGTTGCAGGAAGTCTGGGAGGTGAGTCATGAAGAATCAGCCCCAGTTAAAAGTGCTGATGGGACTTGCTTCCCGCCCCCTCTGAACGTCCCTGGGCGAGGAGAGAGAGAGAGCCAGGGAGCTGCCTTGTAATCTGGGGCAGCCCTCTCCAGCCAGCCTGGGACATGTTCAGACCCGGAGCCTCCGCCCCAGAGATTCCAAGGCGGCAGCTTGGGTGTCCTTTTTGATACTGGAGATCGAACCTGCGGCCTTTGCACTGAGCTACATTCCCAGCCCTGCACCCCTTGAGACAGGCTTTCCCTAACTGGCTAAGACAAGGCTCCAACTCACAATCCTCCTGCCTCAGCCTCCCAGAATGCTGGAATTACAGGCGTGCACCGCCACACCGACCCGAATGGGCAATTTTGCTGCCCTGCCTGAATGAGAAAGTCATTTTGAGAAATGCTGACTTGGGAAGGGAGACTCCGCTGCAGAGATGCTGTGGTTCTTGGGAGAAGATGGCAGTTTGGAGGATGAGGGTCTTTATGCAGGTGAATCGGGCGCAGCTGGAAGAGTGGAGGGGAGGAAAGGGTCAGGAAGAAACTGTCGTGCACTGGAGGCCCAGACACTCAGTCCTCCCACCGACCTTGCTGCGGGAGCTTTGTTATCCCATTTTCCAGGTTACCCCGCCAGGAAGTTCGAAAGGGCGAGATCCAACCCTAGATTTAATTCCTTTTCCCACCCCGCCGGGCTCTGGCAAGAAGGGAGGAGAGAGGTGGAAGAGGAGGCTGTGCTAAGGCTGCGGAGCGGAGACTCCCTCAGCCTCCATCCCACCCTGCAGGAGAATGACCGGAGGCTGAGCCATCACCCTCGTCTGTCTCACGGTGACCTTTTCTTCCCATCTTCCACGTCTCTAAAGATGGGGCAGAAATCCCACCTCTCGAGAGACAGGCCCTTTCTACCCACAGGGCCAGGCCTGCAGAGAGGGTTGAAGTCTAGAGACCCCACGGCTGTCCTGCTCTCTGCACAATCTGTTATCTTTGGAGCCGCCTAGTGGCCCTGATGGGACACTGCGTCCTAAAGCTGCCCTAGCCTCCAGGTGCCCAGGGTCCTGCTAACCAGTTTTATTTCCAGGCCTTTCTCCCCGCCACAGGATTAACACCCCAGGGCGCCAAGGGCCGGTGAAGATCCTAGCCCCTGCACCCCCTTTTCATGGGGAAGACACTAAAGCACAGAGGTACCCAGCAACTCATTCTCAGGGAAACAGGTTCACCCCAAGCAGCCACCCGATGCTGTTTGGATGCCAGACCAGCTGGGCTGTTCTTAGGTCTCAGGTTCATGTTTCTTGGGGGGACGGGGACTTTGGGATGGGAAGGAGACAGGAACCCAAAGGAACCTTCACACAGGCAGGGCCCGCACACATCTCTTTGAATTTCCTTTTCAGCCTGGGAGGTGGGCCTCATGGCACCCGTTCAACACCAGAGGAAACTGAGGCTTAGGCAACTTGAATAACTCCTGCGAGGCCACACGAGGTGCTCCCATCTTGTTTGGGGTGAAGTCAGAGAAACAAAGAACATCGTCAGGCAATCCCCAAAGGGATGGGCACATCCAGAGGCAGCCTGAGGGGACAGTGCCCCTCTTTTTATTTGATCCACCTTCAGGATGTGGGTTTTGTGGGCCTGGCATCCCTGTGCCCCTCAGGCTCCTCTCCAGCTTCAGCTGCTGAGAGAGGAGCTGTCACCGCCTCCACTGCCCTCCCTGCAAGTCCCCACAGCGGTGAGGGATGCTGGGCAGGGGTGCGTGGCTCAGCAGTCAGCCCTGAGGGTCCCTGTGGCCTGGTTGCGGTGACAGCTGCGTGGTATCCGTCCTTCCCCTCCCCTGTGCCCCGTGCTTCATCCTTTCCCTGTGCTACTTCTCCTCTCTGTTTCTCGGGGCAGGCGGTGTGGAACTGAACTCCAGAGTGAAGTTTGAAATTTCACATCCCAAGCTGGGAGGAGGCCCCTTGGTGGTGTTTTCACGCCCTTTCCGACACCGTGAAAGGCGCCTTTGTGAGCGCGAGGGGAGAAGTGCGCGGCAGCCCGCAGAGATGACTTTTCCCATGACTCAGCCTTGCCGAGCAGTGTGGCCAGGGAGGTGCGAGGACCGGGCTCTGCAGCTGAGCTGCCTTCCAGCCTTTGTGCGCGGAGGAAGTGAGCAGCCTTGGGTTCCTGCAGGGGCCCTTACACTCTAGCTGCTCCCTACCCTGCCTGCTGCAGCTGGCTCCTTCTTTTTTGTCTCACTGTTACATCCCGATACCAAGCTCATGTGTTGTCCATTTACTTTTGTCACTGCCATTTCAGCTGACGGCTGGGACCCCAAAGCCAAGAGTTAAAAACACAAGCCTCAGCCGGCTATGGTGGCGCACACCTGTAATCCCAGTGCTCAGGAGGCTGAGGCAGGAAGATCGCTGTGAGTTTGAGACCAGCCCCGGCTACATAGTGAGTTCCAGATCAGTCTCAACTACATAGTGAGAACCTGTCTCAAAAAACAAACAAAACAAAACAAAACAAAAACACGAGACTCAAGCTTTGCCTTCTACATAGCCAGGTCTTGCAGAAGTTAAGTCACTCATCCAAGACCATGTGGCTACTAAGAAGTGGCAGTAGGATTTGAACCCAGGATAATTGCTTGTGCTTTGTCTATTTCACTGATGTCTTTCAAAACACACAGACGCCAGAGCGGTGGAAGAGGATCCACCGAGGATCTTGTCTGCGTGCAGACTCGCAGCACTGCGCCTCTGTGGGGTGCACACAGCTCCTGCATGAAGCTTTGCCTGCCTCTTCTGCCACTGTTCAAGCTCTTCCTTTGGTTGGGTGGCTCTCATGAGCTCCACAGACACCTACTGCAGAAGAGACTGAGGCTGGAGAGCAGGGGTGCGTTTAAACACCACCCTGTCGGTGGGTCCCCACGAGCCCTCTGCTTGGGGACCATGGGGTAGGGCGGGATGGGTCCAAGGGAGTGATTTTGGCCTTGAAGTTGGGCATCTCTGGTTCTGATACCAGCTCTGCTGCTCCCCTTTAGGGCCCCCTTGGGTGATCACTTCCCCTTTCTGATCTTCAGCTTTCTTGCTTGTAAAGGGAAGTCGAACCCAAGGGTAGGGCTAAACCCTTTGTGCGGTCTGGAATCAGGCGCCTGGCCACTGCAAAATGCTCAGTAAAAGCCAGTTGTGTGTGTGTTTGTTTTTGCAGTCCTGGCAACTGACCACATGCCCGGCAAGAGTTCTCCCTCTGAGCTACCTTCGCAGCCCTTTTAGTTTGAGATAAGGTCGCACCAAATTGTCCTTGAACTCGTTATCTTCCAGCCCCAGTCTGCTGAGTAGCTGGGATTGCTTCTGTGCTCCCCGGGCCAGGCCCAGATCTGGTTTTTGTGGTATCTCTGCTCCCAGGGACAGATTTTGCTGAGAGCCGGCTCCATCACTTGCAGAGAGGCCAGATCTATATTTAGTGGTCTGAAGACACTTCCGGAGCACTCTGGGCAGAGCTGGTGTGTCCTCACTTTACAGATTACTTACCCCACCCTCCCAAGGCTGGGTGAACCCCCTTTTATCCTGTAGGATTTGCTGTAGCTCACGTGGGGCTTTTTCCAG